AAAAAAAAAAAAAAAAAAAAAACTTTTAGAATCTGCGTTGTAATATTATACCAAGGAAAAAAATGCAAAATTTTGGGGGTGCTCTTCACGCGCAGTACCAATACGTGAAAGTGCACACTCAACAAAATTGATGAACCAACCACATCAAATCCCCACCTCGCAGTGTAAATAAATTTTCTATTGAAAGATAGAGATAGAGATAGAGACAAATTTGGGCATTGACAACGGGTCAGACTTGTGATCTGTGAAATCAAGTGGGTAACAAATGCAGAAAAACTACCCCTAAATAAAAAAATAAATAATAATATAAAAGTCAGCTCTTTGTGTCATCATTTCAAATCAGCCCACCAGTTTTTTTGTCCAAAATAAACTTGGATTTTCCAGATGCCACCACAATAGAAAAATATTAAACAGCACTAGTGTCTAGTGAAACTTTCCTTTTCCTTGTCTGGCTGTGCGGAGTGAGATGGTCTATTAGTATCACTGTTTCGTTGATTTGAAATCTCTTCAAGAGAGTAAGTACCTTTTTTCTATGTCTTGATCAACACTGTTTTTCTTCTTGCTTTTTTAATCAGTGAAGACCCGTTTGTTGTAACAGAGCATACTTTTTTAGTGTTGAGGAATCTGTTTGCTGTAGTGAACTATAGCTTGCTTCATTTGTAAGTGATAAGGCGTTGAAAAATCCGTCTATGGTTCGTTGGTTTTGAATAAAGAAAGGTTCTTTTTTCAATTTAGTCTTGTAATTGTAAACTTGGGGATCTGAAACCGTAAGAGACGGCCTTTAATTACTAGTTATTGGTTGGGAATTTTATTTTATGTACTTTTGTGATTTTTGAGGTGTTCTGGGATGTGAGTTTGAAGTTTCTTCACATGGGCAGTGCTGATTTCTTGTTTATCTCACTCTGATGTAGGTTGTTGAATTCAAGATTTTTGGATTTGGGAGTTTGATTTATAGTGGGGGTAGTGTAAATCTGATCGGTTTTCTCTGTCTCTAATTGCTTCAATTACATGTTAATCGTGTATTTCTTTTGTATTTCTGAAATGTGGGACGAAATTTCTCATATGGGTTTTTTCATCTGCCAGAACATTTCTCTCTGATAAAGATTGAAATTTTCAGTTTGTGTCTATTGATTCAATCGATGTGGGAGACTGTGTATTTCAATTGTTCCAAGTGGCACTGATTCTTGCGTCACTAAAAGTGGTATGGTTTGGATCTTTTAATTTCGAGGCAGATTTTGTGGGATGTGAGGGAGAAAAGTTTCTTGGTTGTGAAATTCTTCTTGATTTATATCGTCAAGCCCCTTTGGTTTTGATAAAGGTCTGCCGATATTTTTCCCAATGACTTTCCTGAATTGGATATTGTTTGTTTGTTTTTTCGGTTTATCATTGGCGTTTGAAACGCCGACCCGAAAGTGTAATCCAAGTGATTGTTTGGCATTGAGGGAATTTGCAGCCCAGCTGGTGAATGATTCCATCAAATCAACTTGGTCAAATGAAATCAATTGCTGTCAATGGAATGGTGTTGTTTGTGAAGATGGTGGCAACAAGTCAGCCGCAAGTAGAGTAACCGAATTGAACTTGTCCGGGAAAGGCCTGAGGGGAAAAATTTCCGAGTTTTTGGGAAAATTGGATGGATTGAAAACGCTCGATCTTTCACACAACTCTCTGGAAGGTATATTGCTGGCGAATATCTCTAATTTGAAGCAGCTGGAAGTTCTTGATTTAAGCCACAACATGTTGTCTGGACCAATACTGGGAGCTCTTGTGGGGTTGAAAAGGATTCAGTCAGTCAACCTCTCGAGCAATTCTTTCACTGGAAACTTCACTGATCTTGGGGTGTTTCCAAGTCTCATTGCATTCAACATAAGTAACAACATGTTTACTGGTGAATTTGGCTCCAAAATCTGCAGTTTCTCCCCCAACATTCAAGTTCTGGATTTATCATCAAATCATTTTTATGGTAAACTTGAAGGCTTGGAGACTTGCAGTAGCACATCTCTCCAGCAGTTCCATGTGGATTTCAATACTCTTTCAGGCCAACTTCCAGACTCCTTGTACTTGTTATCCTCCCTGGAGCAGCTTTCACTCTCAGCCAATAATTTCTCTGGCCTGCTAAGCCATAAACTCAGTAAGCTTTCCAACCTCAAAGCCTTCTTTCTATGCAGGAACGGATTTTATGGTTCTTTTCCTAATGTTTTTGGGAATTTAACTCAACTCGAGCAGTTAGTTGCTCATTCAAATTCATTCTCTGGACCACTGCCTTCAACTCTGGCACTCTGCACTAAATTACGAGTGCTTGATTTGCGGAACAACACTCTTTCTGGTGCAATTGATCTTGATTTCACTAGATTGCCTAATCTCTATAATCTTGATCTTGCAAGTAATCGTTTTTCTAGTCCCTTGCCAGAATCATTATCTAGTTGCCGGGAATTAAAGATTTTGAGTCTTGCCAAGAACAAGTTAACAGGCCAGATCCCTGAAAGCTATGCCAATCTCACATCTCTTACGTTTCTCTCGTTGTCAAACAACAGCCTTGTAAACTTATCTGGAGGGTTGTCCGTTTTGAAGCATTGCAGAAATCTTAGCATTCTTATTCTCACTAAGAATTTCCATGGGGAAGAAATTCCCAAAAATGTGAGTGGGTTTGAGAGCTTAATGCTTTTTGCACTTGGAAATTGTGGCCTGAATGGTCAAATACCAGATTGGTTGTGGAGTTGCACAAAATTGCGAATCCTTGACTTGTCCTGGAATCGTTTGGATGGCAGTATCCCTTCCCAGATTGGTTGGATGGAGAATTTGTTCTACCTGGATTTTTCAAATAATTCGCTAACAGGAGAAATCCCGAAAGGTTTGACTGAGCTGAAGAGCCTTATGTCTGCCAATAGCTGTTCATCCACTCTTAATGCCTCCACTGGCATCCCTCTTTTCGTAAAGAGAAATCAGAGTGCCAGTGGTTTGCAGTACAATCAAGCTTCAAGTTTCCCTCCATCTATATTGCTGAGCAATAATAAACTAAATGGCTCAATTTGGCCGGAAATTGGACATTTGAGACAGCTCCATGTCTTGGACTTGAGCAGGAATAACATAACTGGAACCATCCCTAACTCCATTTCGAATATGACAAACCTGGAGACTTTGGATCTTTCATACAATGATCTTCATGGATCAATTCCTTCATCATTTAATCAGCTCACTTTCCTCTCAAAGTTCAGTGTTGCTAATAATCATCTCGACGGAGCAATTCCAACGGGGGGCCAATTCCTTAGCTTTCCCAGCTCAAGCTTTGAGGGTAATCCTGGACTTTGTGGAAAAATAATTTCTCCTTGCATTGCCAATAATGTTGGGTTCCGAACGACAAGCCCACCTACTGCACGTAAGAAATTTGGTTGGAGCAGCATACTTGGAATAACAATCAGCATTGGCGTTGGAATTGCTTTACTCCTGGCCATTCTTCTGCTTAGGATATCGAGAAGAGACACTGGAGTACCAATTGAAGATTTGGATGATGAAATCAGCAGGCCACCGAGGTTGTCTGAAGCATTTGGACCTCCTAAGCTGGTGCTCTTTAAGAATGCAGACTGTAAGGATCTTACTATCGCAGACTTACTGAAGTCAACCAACAGCTTCAACCAATCAAACATTATTGGCTGTGGAGGATTTGGTCTGGTTTATAAGGCAGACCTACCTAATGGTTTGAAAGCTGCAATCAAGAGGCTTTCTGGGGATTGTGGGCAGATGGAACGTGAATTTCAAGCTGAAGTCGAAGCCCTTTCTAGAGCTCAGCACAAGAACCTTGTTTCTCTTCAAGGATACTGTCGATACGGGAACGACAGGTTGTTAATTTATTCCTATATGGAAAATGGAAGCTTGGATTATTGGTTACATGAAAGAGTTGATGGGAGTTCATTCCTCAGGTGGGATACCAGGTTGAAAATAGCTCGAGGGGCGGCCTGTGGATTAGCTTATTTGCACAAGGAGCCAAATATAATTCATCGAGACATCAAAACCAGCAATATTCTTTTGGATGAGAGATTTGAAGCTCATTTGGCTGATTTCGGGCTCTCAAGATTACTTTGTCCCTATGATACTCATGTAACAACAGATTTGGTTGGCACCTTGGGATATATTCCGCCTGAATACAGTCAGACATTAACAGCAACGTTCAGAGGTGATGTTTACAGTTTCGGAGTTGTTCTTCTTGAGCTTCTTACCGGAAGGCGACCTGTTGAAGTTTGCAAGGGAAAGAATTGCAGGGATTTGGTGACATGGGTGTTTCAGAAGAAGTCTGAGAAGAGGGAGGAGGATATATTCGATTCATCAATAGATAAAGATTGTGAAAAACAACTTATGGAAGTGCTCAGTATAGCTTGTAAATGCATAAACCAGGATCCTAGAAGACGACCATCCATTGATGAAGTTGTTTCATGGCTAGATGAGATTGAGATAGGACAAACATAACAATAAATTTCATTTTATTTGTTTCCTTCTCGAGGAATTTAGTTTCATTTTCATTTGGAAAGCGAAATACATAACTGTAAACCAAGAAAACTTCAGTTTACACCAAGAGGGCTGGCAGAGAACTATGATCCAAGTGATTCAATTTTATTCTATAAGTGCTTTGGATACTGAGTTCTCATTATGTAAATCTCAACCTCCAAATCGGATGGCGAAGAAATGGAAAGTATTACATCCTGTTATTGATCTGAAGGTCCTTGTTCATCTTTTAATTCTGTTATTCTATATTTTACTCTAGACAGTACATAATTTTCTGCGCTCTTTTCTTTGACATACGGATTGATGAAGTTATATCTCCTTTTACTGAATTATTACTCAATAGTAGTGATACTTGACTTGTGCGTTTCTCGGATAACCGTTATTTATTTTGTAGAATTTTTCATTTCTGATATAGCAGTTGTAGAACCTTAACAAAGGGGCATGATGTACACCTACATGACAATGCCCCTTTCCTTCTGCCAAAAGCTACACTTGTTGCTCCCACTGTCTTTAATTTCTGTTCTTGTTTTTCTTTGTTTTGCGTAGGCACCCGAGAGTGGCTAGCAGAAAGAAAGACTCTTCCTTCGGGCCTCAGCTTATTTTGTATCCGAACATTCTCGACTTATTCGACATATTTGATATCAAACAGAACGTAATATTAATGTGTTCAAAGAAGGTAATGGCCTATTACAATCCATGCAGTTTTTAGTGCTCAACTTTTTCTTGAATTTTTTTTCACCAAATTGAGGTTGAACTGTCTCCTTGTCAAAGGCACTGTTAAAATCTAATTAGTGTAGTGGGAACTGAAAGTTGATCCGAATATGCTTTTTTAATGCTCAATGGCACCTTGACTTCATTCACATTGGCTGCCATTTTTGTAGTGATCCACCCCCATTAAGTTTTCTAATTGTGGCCGATTCTTCATATTTTTTCCTGTAGGTGGGATTGGCAAACAGAACCTAAAAGTCACTTTTCAAGAAGAATAGAATTTCTCGATTCAAGTTGAGTGATTGATTGATGCACTAAGTATGGTTAATGATTTTCTTATCTCGTGCGTTTGATTTTAAGAGAGATTTTTCTCCCCAGTGGATAAACTTGTACTGATTGACATGCTCTTACGTATGTGAAAGTTGAATGTGTTATCTTTTGTCTATAAGAAACTCGCATGTAAAAAAGGATGAAAAAATAATTTTATTACACCACTCAACACACTTCATTATCGAAGATTGAATTCTGGAAAGTCCTTTGAAATAAGTCGATTTTTTTCTATAATAATAAATTATGATAATAAACAAATACTTAAAAAAAAAGAAAAAAGAAAAAAAAGAAGGTAATTTTATAGAGTAATAATGCCAAAAATGCAAGTGAAATGAAATGTGGCAAACAATCAATCAAGCTAGGAGAAATAGCGAAAGTACTAACAAAGGAAGCAAGTTGATGAGTGATTGTACTATATGTACATAATTGTTTACATATTGATTTATATACTTATGATGTGGTTAAATATGATTAAATTGGAATTTTTTCAATCAAATTAAAAAAAAAAAAAGTACACCTTCACTCTCCTTTTGACACTTCTGTCCATGAAAACTATATTTCGATTTAAAACTATTGCAAGTATACGGTTCGTTAACAAATAATAAAGTGAATTTTGAATCTAAGTATCGTTCCCACAGAGATTGTACTAGTTCAAGTTGAAATTAACCTAGCCTTAATCGAAACTATTGAAATTTGTATTTTTTCCAATAAATTAAATAATTTACTTATGAATGCAAAATTTAATTTAACTAAAATAAATGCAAAACCTAAATTAAATGCAAATTTTATAAAAACATGATACCGAAAAGCGTATTAGGATCCCGAATTCCTTTATATTTATCCCCTTTAACTCGAAATTTATAAATTTGACAATACGATTCAGTTATGAAGATCAATATTCCTAATTTGTATAACAATCTCTCTCGAGTAAAATAAATCTATTTTTACATATGACCTGACTATATTTTTATGACAGATACAAACATATAAAAAAGCATTAAAGTTTTATGAATACTTAAAGGTCATGTGAAATATAGTGATATATTTCTATTCCACTATGTCTAACTTATTTTCCCATCTTTCGAGGGTGAAACAAGCCACGATATTTATACAATTAGTAATCAAGCAATTGTAGTGAAAATTAAATCTATGTCAATCATTCATTAATTGAAAACGTGTTTTAGCGTAAAAAATAAATAAAATTCAAAAGTTAAAGTTCATCGCAAATATTAGCACAAAATAATTTAGTCAAGCATAATATTGAAATTAAACAAATAAATAATAAAAGACATCACCAATATTGACCAAATGTGATTAATTCCTCAATTTCATATTTGCTTTTCCGCCGTCTTATTCTTTTTCTTCTCCTGTTTTTCACTGGCTTTGCACGTTTTTGTGTAGAATTAATCTAAATGTACAGGCTCTGAACTTACAGAGTTCTTATAGATCACTCCCATGGAGGTCGGCCCCATGCGGGCCCTTGTGTAATAAACTATGACACAAAAAAAAAAAAAAAAAAAAA